TATTATTATTAATATTTAATTAAATATAAAAATTTTATATCTAGATATAAAATATCTGATTTTTGAAACTGAAACCTTAAAATCTGATTTTAGAAATTGTATCTCCAAAAATAGGGCTCCATGTAATTTCCACAAAAAGTAATGTGAAGTTTTAAATAAGTCGGCTCGGCCCATGAGCCACTGTTTTTTTTTTTAAAAAAAGATAAAACTCTCATTTATTCGTGTGTATGACCGACTACTTAAATTTCAAGTAAATAGAGTTAAAAATTGTACACAAACAATTTGTTATATGTACATGTACAATTTTTAAAAAAATTAAAATAGTATTATAAAATAACAAATTTTATTAATATAGTTAAATTAAATATCGCTTACCCGACGACACGCAGTTTCTGCATACTTATTTTGTTGTCGAAAGTGAGCATCTTGTCAGTCTTTCATGCACATTAATGCTTCCAAAATATATTTTAGTCGACTGCTGACCTAGTGATATATATTAGTGCATCCCTAATTTTTTGAATTTCATTCTTAGAGTATGTTTGGTGCATATTAAAATGAGAGAATACATTTTTTTTAAATTGATGTGATAGGGAATATGTGGTTGAAAAAGAGAGAAAAATTATTGATGTGATTGAAAATATTATTTTATTGAAAAATATGTGGTTGAAAATGAGTAGAAAAATGAGAATGAAAAAAATAATATGTGTCAAACAGGGGCTTAATATGTTTTAAATCATCTTGCACAATTAAATTAAAAATATGACGCACACAACAAACATGAAATAAATAATCATCAAAATCGGGATGCAGTACCCTACAAAACTTATCAATAATTGGCTTATTAACACTAGCATTGTTAAATGTAAAAGAACGAATTTTACCCTCACGACTGGCTTGTGTGCTCGCCCACGAATTTTAATGCTTCTTTATACTTTGCGACTCCGTTTACCGTACGATCAGTTGAAATCAATTTAAAATGATCCCAATATTTTGCCGCTTTTTCCCCTTTTGCTTCCATCTTGCATCAGAAATATCTATTTCTGCCGTTTCCATTTTGAAAATATCAACGTCATCCAAATTAATTGGATCGCTACTTCCATGAGTATCCAAATCTGACATATTTTCAGAAATTGGTATGTCATTAAAACCAGCAAATTCATTATGAAATTAACTTTTGGCGTCATAGGTGATTCACCACCAACACCGAACAAGCCCTCAACAAATTATTGTGAATCCACTTGTGATGAATTGATAATATAAGAACTTAAAAGGAGATGAAATGATAAACGAATATGTAGAAATTGGATAATTGTAGGAATGTAAATTGTAATGTGAGGGAAATTTAATGTAGAGAATGTATTGTAATTTGTAAGTAAGTAAATAATTGATTGAAAATTGTAATATGTAGAGAAATAATGAATGATTAAAGGTAGAATTAGGGATGTCAACAAGCCAAGTTGGGTCAGCTCGCGAGCCGAAACTCGAAGCTCGGGCTCAACTCGAGTAAAAATGGTTCGAATTTTTTCGACTCGACTCGAGTCGAGCCAAGCTTTTGCTCGACCAAAAAATCTAGGTTCGACTTTGACCTAGCGAGCTGAGCGAACTCGCCTTCTTTTTTTTTGTCCCTGCCTTAACAAGGCAGCAATAAGGTAGCTATATCTATTGTCATAACAAAGTAGTAGCCTGTACTAATAAGACATTTAAATAAAAAAAATTTTTAAATATTGCAGACTTTA